ACTGTGATTCCTCGCTCCCATGGGTTGCTGGGTCCAAGTAGTTGCCAAGTGTGGAAATTCATCATCACCATTTCATCAATTTTCTTATCTCCAGTTCTACCATTATAATCCTTCTCCTCCTTCCTAGGTCTCTTTGCCTGGAGTATTACAGCAGCATCCTAAATGGTATGTGTCCCCTTCACCATCCTTGTTTATAAGCATAATCTATACTTCTCTCATATTTATCATTTCACTCCCAAAATCTTCCTAGGATTCCCAACTTCTGTCAATCATATCAAGATGGACTCCTTGGCCTGGCACACAAAGTCTCCCCCGTCTGATTGCATCTTATCTTTGTCTGCTTTTATCCCTCAAAGGGCTTATCTCCCCACAAAAATGTTTCATTTGAGGTTATGGCAGCACTAGCATTTTTCCTCTGTACACATATAGAAAGGAAAGGGAGTGAGGATCTAAGCGGTTAACTGTGTAAACATCTCAATGGGCAGGATTTAATTCCTGAATCCGTCATGCCCCCCTCTTACCCAGGAGGGTGCTCTCCCACAAAGCGGTCGCCTGTGCGATGCAGGGAGGAGCACCTGCTGCAGAAGCCGGGAGGGATTTCTTTTCATTTCTGTTGTTGCCCTCTTCCCACTTACAGCATCACTGCCAAGTCCCTTGGGCCTCGTGGATTTCCATGTATGTGTATGTCTTTGCTTCTGTGTGATCTCAGCAGGGATAAATGAACCTACGATATTAAAATGTAATTTGTTCAGATCTTTGCCTTCAGGGTGAGCACTAAGATGCTGCCATCAGCCAGAAAATGTGTGATCTAATTTAGAAGCAGTGAGCCATGCTGTCTTCGCTCAGACACTTCGCAAAGCTGCGCTGGGTCTCCACTTTGCTGCGGTTTTGTGAAAGGTTTTCTTTCAAGCTATAAACAATGTCGATTTTTTTTCTCTCCACTCTGCTATTTCAAGAAAGATTCACTTAGGACAGGCAGGGAGTAGAGACTATGCTTTTTAGCTGTCACTCTGCTGAAATGCCATTTGCACAAGTGACTCACCTTTCGTCTGTTGGACTGTGCGCTGTGGAAGACTCTCCCACTCTGACCCACCTTGACCTAGACGTTCAAAAGGGCCTCTGTCCCTGACACTTGCCCGCAGAGTTCCATGATCAGCATTGAACGCGCTAAAGCAAAGAATTTTACATTGACTGCCCTCATGCTCCGGAAGATTTCTTACCCAGGTATACCTTGGCTGAAATCTTCAGCACAGAGGCTGGCGCTATGGCACAGCAGGTTAGGCCACTGCTTGTGGTGCCAGCTTCTCATATGGGCACCCATTCAGGCCCCAGCTGCTTCACTTCCAATCCAGCTCCCTACTTACGCACTTGGGGAGGCAGCAGAAAATGATCCAAGTGCTTGGGCCCCTGCCATCCCCTTGTGAGACCCAGATGAATCTCCAGGCTCCTGGCTTCAGCCTGGCCTGGCCCTGGTCATTGTGGCCATGTGGAGAATGAGCCTGTGGATGGAGGATCTCTCTCTTTCTCTCTCTCTCTCTGTAACTCTGCCTTTCAAATAAATAAAATAAAAATCTTTTTTTAAAAAAAATGAACAAAAACTTCAGTGTAGCCACAAGACCACAAAGAAAAATTACTGACTTCTCTATAGACAATTTTACCAATTTTAGTTCCTCTCTCATTTCAGCTAAAGACAGGCTGTTATTGCCAGGCCCTTGCTTACTTCATTTTTTTCCCTTTGGTTTCTGAGATAAAGAAAACTATATCCTGAGCTCTAAAAAGCATAACAGGCAAAAATTCTGGGCTTTTTTTTAGCCCAGAGGCATGGTTAGGATAAAAGTGGAAGGCACTGGGCATGATTTTTTTTAAATGATACTACATAGCAAACAGGTGCATTAAATCTAGTTTAACAAAGAAGCAGGTGCTACAGATAAAGTTGTTGAAGATCCCAGAAGGCGTCTGAGAGAGACAGAGTCCCTTTGAGCACTAAAGACTTCTTAATGCTCTCCTGCAACCCTCCCGGAAAACAGAAAAAGGACAGGTTTTAATTTCAAAAGTGAAATTTCATTCTGGATGACCACCATTTTTTGTTCTCATAGGTCGCACAAAACAGAGAAAGAAAGGATCAACCCAAAGGGAGAAAGAAAGGATCAACCAGACATGCATCTACATTAACTTCAGACCAATTGAACAGTAAAATATAGGCTAGCAGTTCAAACACGTATGAAGCTGGCTTTTACTTTTTCTGGCAACTTCTTGAAATTCAGCTTTTCCTGAGTTAGATCTAGAACAGAAAGCATGACAAACTTCAGGTCTTCAGCATAAATACAGTCGTGGTTATTTTGTGAATGCTCATTGACCTATAGCGTCTTCACAGTGCAACTAAGAGACTTGAGGGTTTTAGAATAACATAGATGTCGTATGGAAATTCAGAAAAATGCTGCACTTCCAGTCTAACAGAAACCAATAGCATTCCCAGCCAATGCAGTAGGGCCAAGGGCTGGCAAGTAGACCAGTGAGTGAGAAGCAAGTGTGTGAGGGCCTACCACTGCACCTTTAACCAACCTTAGCTGCAAGTCTAGAAGCACCCTTGAAAATTTGGTTCACCGCCAGATTTTGCATTACATTCAACATGGGATTTCAGTCGCTTACTGCAAAAAATCTATGTGACTTAAAGGGACAGAATGATGCCCTGTGCTACAAACTTGCAGATGTTAACCCTTTACTCTAACATTGCAGGATGGTATGTAGGGATGTTGCTCAAAAGTCTTCAATCAGATTTCTTTTTTTCCTAAACCTGACATATTTTAGAGTTCCCTTTCATTTAAAATAATAAAGATTCCATGCAGATTAGCAGAACAACTTTGCAAGCTTGATTAAAAGGTTTCTAGGAATGGGTTTTATTTTTCAATCACATTTTTCTCCATGAAAACCTTTATTAGATTCTCAACCCGAAGTGTGTTCTGGCCGTATAATTTAGCAGAATGCTGCACTTCCAATAAGCCTATTTTCATCATGCAGTCAATTGTTCATCATGAATATAAATATAATCCATAGGCTTCAAGAAAAAGTGGTACACTTTCAGGACTACCTTAAAATAAAAGTTGTATAAATTGTCACTGAAAATTACACGGCCACATTACCTGTATTTCAAATTGTACTGATTAAGTCTTTCATATACCAACCTATTCAACAGAGATAATTAGATAGCACAGGAAGCTCTAACATTATAAAATCAAAGAACTTAAGCCTCATTGTAAGCTGTAAGTGCCAAGCAGGCTTGCGTCTCTAATGTTTATAAGGCATGAATGCCACCTACTGGCAGCATTAAAGATTGCAATGTCTGACCAAGAGCCGCTACTTCAACCTTGCAATCTGACCAAGTTTTCCCCTGTAGCCGAAATGCACTAGTGATGTTGGGTGTACAGTTTGCCTTTCTAGTTGTTGATTTATTTTAAGGAAACCACACAAAAACAGTTTCCTTTTGACATTATGTCTTACATGTGTATGTGCTGCACACATGTGCATACATTTGTTCACTTGTCTCTTCAGAGATTCTCCTCGTTTGCTAGAATGTAACCTCAGCAAGAGCAGCAACATGTTCTCTTCATTGATATATCCCCTGGGATCTGACCAGTGTCTGGAACTGCATCAATATTCATTGTTTATTTTTTAATATTCATTGTTGAAATGAATGAAGGAATAAATGAGCAAAATGAAAACACTAAGGTCATACAGCATCTTGTCTAGTAGCCTAGGTTTAAAGACAAACAGATCTGGTTCCTGCCACCCATGTGGGAGGCCAGGGTGGAGTTTCTGGCTCCCGGTTGCAGCCTGACCTACCACTGGTCATTGTAGGCATTTAAGATTTAGGGAGTGAATCAACTGGCAGAAGATCTCAGAGTCTCTCTCTCTCTCTCTCTCTCTCTCTCTCACACACACACACACACACACACACTGCCTTCCAAATAAATAAATAAATCTTTACAAAAACATCACAACCATTACTATTAACTATAATCTTAACATAGTTAAGAGGTCTGTCAGAAACTTCACAGACATTCCAGTGTTTACATTTTTATTTATTTATTTGAGAGTCAGAGAGATAGAAAGACAAGCTGGCATACAGTCACCTTCCATCCTCTGATTTATTCCACTAATGCCCACAACAGCCAGGGTTAGGCCCTGCCAAAGCTGGGTTTCCCATCTGGGTTTCCCACGTGGGTGACAGGGACAAAACTGCTTGAGCCATCACCTGCTGCCTATTAATGCAGAAATCTGGAATCAGAGCTGGGGCCAGGACTTGAACCCAGGCACTGAGATATGGGATGCAGGCATCCCAAGCAGCATCATAACCACTAGGCCAAACAGTTACCCAATCAAGGAGCTTTGTTTCTGTGGTGCATGCCAACAGCCCACCCATCTCCCTCACTTTTTTTTTTTTTTTTTTTTTTTTTTTACAGGCAGAGTTAGACAGTGAGAGAGAGACAGAGAGACAGAGAGAAAGTCTTCCTTCCATTGGTTCACCCTCCCCCCAAATGGCTGCTGCGGCTGGCGCACTGCACTGGTCCGAAGCCAGGAGCCAGGTGCTTCCTCCTGGTCTCCTTTGCGGGTGCAGGGCCCAAGCACCTGGGCCATCCTCCACTGCCTTCCCAGGCCACAGCAGAGAGCTGGACTGGAAGAGGAGCAACCAGGACTAGCACCCGGTGCCCCAACTGGGACTAGAACTCGGGGTGCCGGGGCCACAGGCAGAGGGTTAGCCAAGCGAGCCGCGGCACCGGCCTCCCTCATTCTTGACTTCTCTTCCCAGTCTGCATCTGACCTGCAAAATCCTCCAGTTCCACCAAGTGCTAGGACCCAGCTGGTATCCATCATTCAGCATCAGCCTTCAGATAGTCACAGGTCCTTGGGATTGCTAGGACGGTGGCATGACATTTAGCTCACTGTTCTACAATTTTCTAACCATACTGTATGCACTTGAATAGTTTAGAACTCTCTGGAGGGGTTTACCAGGGTTTTAATTTTATTACAGCTGATATCACACTTATTGCCTGCCAGCAAGCCAGTTTGTACTTGCCAGGAACTATCTACCCTTGAGTGCATCTTTTGGAACGTTGGGCAGGTCCCAGAGCACCACAGAAGCTGACGTGGGCATCTCACGGAGTGGGAAGTCCCTGGGTGGTGGAGCTGCTGCCCAGCGGAACCACATCATAAAGCGCTGTGTTCTCACGGCGTGCTCTGCTGGCCTCGGTGTTGTCGTGTTCTGGTTCCTCAGCCTGGGTCCTCTCGTGGAATTAGTTTGCTTCCAATAGGAATCTGGGCTGCATGATGCTCCTGGTTCACATTCAGTGGGGAAGAATGATTGGTTCCGGGAGGATCCCCGCAGCGGGAGGAAGAGCTTTCCCATTCATCAGACAGACTGCTCCTCCTGGCTCCACGGTCAGAGGACTAACAGGACTGAAACATACCCACCTCAGCTGGCTGGCTTCACATTACTCTCATTGGCCTTGAGCCTTTGACCTGAGTTCTTTCTTTCTCTGAGTTCCATGAGGAGGGGAGAAGACCTGAACAAAACAAAACAAAACAGGAAAGAAGGAGGGAGGGAGGAAGGGAGGAAGGGAGGAAGGGAGGAAGGGAGGAAGGGAGGAAGGAAGGAAGGAAGGAAAAGAAAAGGAAGGAAAGAGAGAATGGAAACAGGGCAGGTCTCTGGAAGGCCCCTCGCTAAGGAGCACACAAAGGACATTACATTGTAGTTTCTGATTTTAAAAGCTTTAAATTCCTGGGGCCTGTGCTGTGGCGCAGCAGGTTAACGCCCTGGCCTGAAACGCCGGCATCCAATATGGGCGCCGGTTCAAGACCTGGCTGCTCCTCTTCCGATCCAGCTCTCTGCTATGGCCTGGGAAAGCAGCAGAAGATGGCCCAAATCCTTGGGCCTCTGCACCCGCGTGGGAGACCCGGAAGAAGCTCCTGGCTCCTGGCTTCAGATCGGCGCAGCTCCAGCCGTGGCAGCCATCCGGGGAGTGAACCAATGGATGGAAGACCCCTCTCTCTCTGCCTCTCCTTTTCTCTGTGTAACTCTGACTTTCAAATAAATAAATAAAAATCTCTTTAAAAAAGAAGTTTAAAATCCCTAAAATAATGCTTTTACAGGAATACTTTTTCGCAGTTCACATACAAAGAACCCAATATGCTTCAATAGAAATATTATGTAGTCATGCCTGAAATGCTATAGATATTATGCAGACTTTCGCTAAACATGGGGCAGATTTGACAACAGGAACACACTTGGGTCCAAGTGTCCATCGTTTCTTTGGGTCTAGGTCTTTCTATTGTTCAAGACGAAATAAATGAGTTCGACCAGCACCGTGGCTCACTAGGCTAATCCTCCGCCTGTGGCACCGGCACACCGGGTTCTAGTCCTGGTTGGGGGGCCAGATTCTGCCCAGTTGCTCCTCTTCCAGGCCAGCTCTCTGCTGTGGCCCAGGGGTGCAGTGGAGGATGACCCAAGTGCTTGGGCCCTGCACCCCATGGGAGACCAGGAGGAAGCACCTGGCTCCTGGCTTTGGATTGGCGCAGCACGCCAGCCACAGCAGCCATTTGGGGGGTGAACCAACGGCAGGAAGACTTTTCTCTCTGTCTCTCTGTCTCTCTCTCTCACTGTCTAACTCTGCCTCTAAAAAACAAAAAGAAAGAAAGAAAGAAAGAAAGAAAGAAAGAAAGAAAGAAAGAAAGAAAGGAGTTCAAAGACCTTTCCCAATTTTTACACTTTTTTCTGTGAATCCATATCCACATATGTCAGCAACATGAACATACATGTCAATTTACACATGTTTTTATTCATCATTCAAGTAAACTATTGACCTCCTATTATATGGACTCCATTCGATGAGGAAGGGACAAAGACTTTTACAAGGATGAGGCAACTTCCTGCCTTCCAGAGCCTTCTCTGGGGAGAAAAAGCAGAGAGAAGGAAAGTTTAAAAATAGGGCAGCAAACAGTTGCTAAGCAACCACAGAATGGAACTGAGGTGCACTCTGGGAGGGAAGAGGAAGGTGAGGGCTAGGTTAGGTTACACCTAGACGAGGACACGTGGTTTAGAAGACGGGACAAAATGGGGAAGGAGCAATAAGCACACAGTGTGGATCAGGACCTGATTTACTGTGTCTGTGAAACCGAGTGGACGCGAACGACTGTGATGATGGATGATGTTGATGATGCTTCATGTGGTAGCTGAAGGTTCTTGTGACCTACCCAGGGCCACCACTTTAATTAAAATCTTTCATTTAATCTTCACAATAACTCTGGGGGAAACTGTGTCATCGTCCATATTTGACCCTCAATTTATCTTGCCCAGGGTTTTTTGGTTGTTTTTTTTTTTAAGTATTAAATCTGTGTTTAGAACACAAGCCCCTGGGGCAGGCAGTTGCTGGCACAGCAGTTACAATTCTGCTTTGGATGCCACATTCTGTATCAGAGTGTCAATTCAAGTCCTGGCTTCCCCACTTCTGATCCAGTGTACTGCTAATGCACACCCTGGGAGGTGACAGGTGATAGTTCAATTAGGTGAGTCCCTGTCACCACTCATGTGGGAGACCCCGTTAGAGTCTGGGCACCTGGCTTTGGCCTGGCCCGTACCGGCTGTTGCAGGCATTTGGGGAGTGAGTCAGTAGATGGACTATCTCCAACTGTCTCTGTCTCTCTGCCCTTCAAATAAAATAAACATTAATAAAAATTTTAAAAAGGGACCCATGTGCCTGCAACTGTACAGGCACAATGCCTTCAGCACACTTCTCGGCCTCTTTGAAATGTGGTAACTCTCAAACAGCCCACAAATCTGAGAGGCAGACCACGTGTCCGTGTATCCAAGGGAGTCCACTTAGGAAAACAAACATGTTTACAGCCAGGGCTTTCATTCAGATGGAAATAGCTTTCCTAAAAAGCACCCTTGCTTGCAGAAGACTGCATGGATTCACAAGTTAGATCATCTCCTCACCAGACAGGATTATGACACAAAAGGAGGGCGTTGCTGGCATTGGAGGCACTGCATTGTAGCATCGGGAAATATTAATGACACAAAGACAGACTTTGCCTTTTATCTTAAAATTGGACTGAGGGGCTTTGTTGGAAAGTGATAATAGCCCCCTGGATTGCTTGATATTCTGCATATGATCCTATTGCTGTGTGTGAGAGAGAGAGAGAGAGAGAGAGAGAGAGAGAGCAGAGTGGGGGGAGGTGCAGGGATCTTTACTCTAAGCAGACACTGCACATTCACCTCTGTTAACCACAAAACAGTGTCCCTTCCATGGGACATTGAGTCCAGCACAGCATGTATTCTGAGCTCTTAGGGCAGTTTCTGGGTCCCAGACACACTATAATAGGACGAGTGCACATGTTTCTCTCTCTCTCTCTCTCTCTCTCTCTCACACACACACACACACACACACACACACAGCCATCCAGTCTGCACTGTTCAAAGGAAGATGAAGTTCCTACCTCTCTACTCAAATCCCAAACACACTCCCCGGGAAACCATGTACCACGGCTGCTGAACTTTCTTTACCAGCCACCCTTTCCTCCCCAGCAATTGTGAAAAATGCCTTTTGATCTGTGACCTGCATTGAAAAACTGACATCTGGTGGGTCGGGTGGTAATTAGACTTCATTTAAAAGTTATTTCTGCCTTGTTAACTGAGTTACTCTGTGATCAAATTATGGGATAATTTAGAGGAATTCAGGCATATTGATTGTATAATCCATAATGTGTGTAATTAATAACTACCCCCTAAAAGCTCTGTGTGAGAAATTGTAAGGATTCACATTAGACAAAAAGTCAAGACCTGAATGGTGCTTTCTCCTCCATGCCTTTTATTAACTAGACATAAAAGGGAAAGCTTTCAAAGGAGATGAAATCAAGGTCCGCTGCCACAATTCATCGACACTGCCGCACGACTTATGTCCCCAGGGGCCTCAGCCTGGTGCCAGCTGGAAGCCCCCTTGTCCTGGGTGCCTGAGGCATCCTGTTCCTGGAACCACACCTCTAGAAGGGGTAACTCGAAAAGTTCACTGAACACAGAATTAGAAGATAAGTTTGGGTACAGAAAGACACATCACCCATGAACTTTTTGAAGGCCCTTTAAGTGCATGCATTTCAAAATGTTTCACACCCAGATAAACTTACCTTTTGATTCCTTCTTTCCATGAACTTTTTGAAGTACTCTTGTATAAGACCTTCCTGGCTGCCGACTTCTCATTGATAGATTCAGCCATCATTTTTTAGTTATAGATGGGGTTTCTCCAAGCCATGGAGCTTGCAGTGGCACAGGCTGTCCTAGGTAGCAATGAACTGATGCCAGCAATTCAGTCTGTAGAGAATATTTCTAACAAAACTCCGTAACAACAACAAAAAGTTAGCGTTGGTTGTAATAAGGTGACAAGTGTCAGATCTCTGTATCCTTGATTTTTATCCTGCTGCTTCCACTCATACCAGGCCACCCAAAATATGCACACCACCATAAACAAATATTGTCTGTCATTACCCAGAACATTTGCCCAGACTTTTTTCTGTTCTTCTCCCCTGTGAGCTGAGATGAACTTCCGGCAAGACAGAGGGACAAGGTGAGCTCAGTGCTGCAGGCCAAGTTAAAAGCGCTCCTTCGTCTTGATCTATTTTGCTGCTGTCAGGCCTGCAAAGAGCCTTATGGCAGCTGAACAAGAGGAGCCCTGAGAAGTGAAGAAAACAGAGTTCATTCACAATGAAGAGAGTGCCTGGCCTGCATGTGCATCACAGGAGGTGGGGTCCTGTTTGGTGCTTACACACAGGTCATCTGGGCACCTGCGCCAGTGCATCACCCTTTGTCTCCACCCACTAAGGAACTACTTGGTGGAAATGGTGACATAATAATTGCAGCTTACATTTGTGAAGCTCTGCATTCTTCTGTGTGTTTTTATTTCATCATTGAAATAACTCTAGGAGGGGCCAGTGCTGCGGCATAGCAGGTTAAGCCCCCATCTGCAGCGCCGACATCCCATACGGGCTCTGGTTTGAGTCCCAGCTGCTCCACTCTGAATCTGGCTCCTTGCTAATGTGCCTGGGAAGGCAATGGAAGACGGCTCAAGTGCTGGGACCCCTGTACTTATAGGGGAGACCTGGAAGAATCTGCTGTCTCCTGGCTTTGGAAACTGACACAGCCCCAGCCATTGCAGTCATCTGGGAAGCGAACCAGAGGATGGAATCTCTCTCTCTTTCTCTCTCTGTAAAATCTGACTTGCAAAAATAAATAAATAATTCTTTAAGAAGGAGGAGGAGGAAGAAAAGTAGAAGGAGAAGGGAGATGCCAGAAACCAAGAGATCTCCAAAGGAAAGATGGCTGACTAACCAACCGTAAAGCACTTCCTGGGCCAAGGGCTATTTTGACATAGCCGCCAGATTAGCCTCTTAGTGCTGCCATACAAATTATCACAGACATGGTACTTAAACCACAGAAGTTTACTTCCTCACAAATCCAAAAGCTGGAAGATCATTGTTGGCAAAGTTGGTTTCTTCTGAAGCCTCTTTCCTTGCTTTGTAGATGGCCATCTTCTCCCTGTGTCTTCCAATGGTCATTTTTCTATGTATGTCTGTGTCCTAATCTCTTATTTTTTAATGAATTATATATTTATAAGGCAGAACAACAAAGAGAGGGGGAGAGAGATTCAGAGAAAGAGATCTTCCATCTGCTGGTTCACCCACCAGATGGCCACAATGACCATGGCTAGACCAGGCCAAAGCCAGGAGCCAGGAACTCCATCCTGGTCTCCCACAGATGACAATGTCTCAAGTACTTGGACCACCATCAGCTGTTTCTCAGATGTATTGGGAAGCTGGATCAGAAGCAAAGCAGCCAGGGCTCTAACCCATACTCTAATATAAGATGCTGGAGTCAGAAGCAGTGGCTTAAACCACTGTGCCTTAATGCTGGCTCCACTCACCTCTTCTTTTTATGAGGACACAGGTCATGTTGAATTAGGGCCCACCACCACGGTCTCATTTAACTTGAGTTCCCTCTTTAAAGACCCAATCTCTGAATACAGTCAAGCTGGAGTACTGAAGGTTTGGATTTCAACTTAAGAATTTGGGGTAAAGGGACCAGCGTCATGACGTAGCAGGTTAAGCCACTGCCTGTTGACACCAGCATCCCATGTGGGCACGGATTCAAGTCCCAGCCACTCTACTTCTAATCCAGCTCCTTGCTAATGTGCCCAGGAAATCAGCAGAAGATGGCCCAAGTCCTTGGGCCCCTGCACCCACGTAGGAAACCTGGAAGAATCTCTAGGCTCCTAGCTTCAGTCTGGCACATCTCCAGTGATTGCAGCCAATTAGGGAGTAAACTAGCAGAAGCAAGGTCTCTCTCTCTCTCTCTCTCTCTCTCTCTCTGTAATTGTGCCCTTCAAACAAATAAAAATAAATCTTAAATAAAAGAGTTTGGGTGGAGGGGAAGACACAGTCCAGCCTCTAGCACCTCACCCACACATCCCCATGCTCTTAACCTCCAAGCTTTCAGTACAATAGTCTAAACACATTGTCTTGAGTAAGAGAAAATTGGTGGAAACAAAAGACAAAGTTGTCATCCATACATGGAGTTAATGAAAAAAAATAGAAGGGAAGACAGTCACCAAAAGAAGAGATGCAAGGCAGAGAATAAGTATTTAGCAGAAGCAGGATCAAGAATTAAAGACAGACACACTAGGAACAGTTCAACTCTTCCTCCACCGTGGAGGTTCTAGAATGATGGGCCATGAGCGTGTTTGGTTTTGTTTGTTGTAAATGTTAGAGGAATGATAACTCCTGATGTCTGCACATCTTTGACATAATGATGAATACTAGGGCAATTTTTCAGTGTATTACTATTAAATCCCAGCCTACTTATCCAATCAGGAGGCACGCCACCCTTTGTGATACAAATGGGATCCAATGAGTCACCTCTGGATTCCCAGCCCATTTCATCATGCCTCAACACTAAAACAGAACTAGCAAGGATGTCAAGTTCTAGAGACATGAAGAACAGTGAGTATCTCCTTGGATTCAAGAAAGCACCATAATTCAAAATCAAACGTGCATCAGGCTGAGAAAGAAAGCCAAGTGATTCACAAAAGCTTTTGCCCCACCCTGTGTGGTGGAATGTGAAGGCAGGACTAATACTATCAAACCTCCTAGCAATTCACAGCCAGCATTTTCAACTAAAGATCATTGTGGTCTCCTTGCCTTCAGTAAGCCTATTAAATAAGTTACACTAATAAATGAATCTCCTTCTCAATTACTATATTATCCTAAGCCCTTTCTGCTAACAAGGTAAAGAAGAAAATCCTCCCTTTTATTCTATTTCTAAGTGAATGGCATACTTTTGGGACTGACCGATAGGACCCTTGTGCCATTTTGGTACCATATGCCAGCTGGCCAGTACAAATGGGGAGTGTACAGAACTGAGTCCTGTATCAGAAGTCTCAGCTGGCCACAGATAAAGTCACCATGCCAAAAGCATAAGTTAACACCAACAGTGTGTGTATGTGTGTGTGTGTACGTGTGTGTGTGTGTGTGAGAGAGAGAGAGAGAGAGAAAGAGAGTGTATGGGTCTATATGTGTTTCGTGATATGAAAAAATACAAGTTATTGCCAGTTGTTCTTCATACTGATAATAAGCAAATGCAGATGGTCAGATAAACTAACTTTCTCATCAGTTTGGAATCATGTGGAGCAAATGGGTGCAAACAACAGAAAAGAGAAGAACAACCAAGAAGAGAAAAAAGAGAAATAAGATATTTTATGGTATATTAAAGTGTGGGGACTGGCACTGTATTTTACTAAAACACACACACACACACACACACACACACACACACGGCATCCCATCCATGTTCTTCATACTCAAAAGTTACAAACTGGCCAGTCTGACAAGAATTAGGCAGCTACAAGAATAGGAAGCAGCATGAAGCCCTCAGGGCCCTACGATAGGAGGCCATGGCAGCTTCCGCCAAGGCTTCAGATCACCATCCAGGGCCAGGGTCAAGGCCAGGGCTCACGCCACACTCAAGCTATAGAGCTCACAGAGGAAAGATTGAGGCCAAGGATTGGCTCTCAGTGACCAAGCAGGGCCATCTGGTCTAGGACATAAAGGTCAAATCCCTCACACAGATCTGCCACTTCTCCATGCCCATCTAGTCATCTGTGTTCATGGTTTCTTTCCCAGGGGTATCCCACAGGTGTGAGGTTTGGTAATTATGCAATGAGCATATCGACTTGGATCTTCAACGCTCCAAGCAAGTAGCCACCGACACCGCAGGAGCCCTCCTCCTGGATGAGCTCTCCATTGCGCTGGCAACTGAGACTGCCTGAGGAACAAGAAGGCAAGCCCCACACCACCCCATTCAAGGTGACAGGCCACTGCAGTTCAGGCTAGAGCTCTTCACCCTCACCGGCAGACATCCTGGGAGTTGGGGCTGGTGGCTGGTATGGACAACTGCTACCCCTCAGCCATGGGCTTCACTTCTACCCTGGGCAGATAGATTTATTTATTTATCTATTTTTGTCAAAGCCACCTTTTGATGCCATCTCTGAGACTTACTGCTATCTGATGATCCCTGACCTCTGGAAAGAGATTATGTCCATCAAGTGTTCCTGTCAGGAATTCAGTGACACTCACTGTCTCATAAAGAACCACACACAGTTTCCATGCAGAGGACCCAGGCCCCAGCAGAGGGTGTGTACACCAGAAAAATAAAATGAATTAATCCTGTTTTTAAGGAAAAACAGTAAGGAAAAATAAACGAATAGAATCAATGTCTAAGACCTTAAATAAGCCAAATATTCATAACTTAGGGGTAATATGCAGGACTCTAAGGAAATACTGGCATGGGTGTAGTGGGAACTAACAACAACCATGGTATTTGGGGCTTGGGAAGCTTTGCGGCAGGGAGGGGTGAGCCCAGCCACTAGGAGACCATGCTTGGGTGCAGGACAGAAGGGGATGCGAAGGGGCAGAAGTCCTGGGGAAGTGACAAGAAGCTCTTCATGCACTGAGGTCGAGAAGAGGCAGAAGTACCTGGCACAGAGCCAGTGCTGTCAACCGGAGTTCTAGCTAATACCAGTACCTACAACAAGAGCCCGGGGTTCACTGCCAAGGCCATGAAGGCTGCCTGCAACAACAGGCACATCGGTTAAGTCAAGGCGTGAAAGCAGGACATGGTTACCAGCCAGAACTTAGAGACAATCCCAGTGCTATTTCAAAACCAGCAGGATTTAGAGAAGATTTTGACAAGCAGGGGTTCATGATAGAGTTAGAAGAACCTGAACAGGAGAAACTGAATAAGAATGTGCTAGAAATCAGTGGGCTTGAAGCAGTTCTCGCTATACCCTTGCGATTAAAACCCTCCAAGGTGGGCAGGCACTGTGGCACAGCAGATTAAGCTACCACTTGGGATGCCCGCATCCCCTATTCAAGTGCCAGTTCAAGTCCCGGCTACTCCACTTCCAATCGAGCTCTCTGCTAATGTGTCTGGGAGGCAGCAGATGAAGCCTCAAGTACTTGGACCTCTGTCACCAATGTGGGAAACATGGATAGAGTTGCTGGCTCCTGACATCAGCCTGGTTTAGCCATGGCTATTGTGAACATTTGTGGAGTGAGCCAACTCATGGAAGAATCTCCTTCTCTCTCTCTTTCCCCCGCCTCATTTCAAATAAATAATAAATCTTAAAAAATAAAAAGCACAAATAAGAAGTAAGAGGAAGACAATGACAGGAAGGAATTGGAGACGCAGGATGGATGCATGTGACTCTCTGAGTTTATGTGTGCGGCAGACAGGACAGGGTGCAGGAAGATTCCGTCACTCTCCACAGCAGTAGGACTCCATCATGGCTCACTCTCTGCATAGCCTGGCCTGCATCTAACAGTCAGGTGAGCCAGGAGGTGCCTACTGTTTACAATGCTGAGTTTCTATAAAATCAACAGTATTTGGAAAGCCAGCATTCAGCCTCTGGACTGCACTAACTCCACTGCTGAACCCTCAATGGAAAGGGTCAACTGTTTGCAGTTGAAATGACCTAAAACTCTGGCCTCTGTCCTTTTAAGACAGACAACTTGTTGCACATCTCTTTGTAAGACTTGTATGGTGCTGACAGAAAAGCCTTTTTTTTTTAAATGCCCCAGGTTTTCCCCTGTCCTTAGGTGCAGTAACACAGTTTCCTCAAGAGCTATACTTCTGCCCCATCACCCATGCACTGGCCCTTGTGCTCACCTCTCTGGCCCACTCCTCTCACTCCCCTTGTCTTTCAGCATTGGTGACACTGGTTTGAAATGGATGGTGCTCTCTGGAGAGCAAGTGAGATGATCGGAATTCCATTCTGTGGGCCGGCGCTGCGGCTCACTAGGCTAATCCTCCGCCTTATGGCGCCGGCACACTGGGTTCTAGTCCCGGTCGGGGCACCGGATTCTGTCCTGGTTGCCCCTCTTCCAGGCCAGCTCTCTGCTGTGGCCAGGGAGTGCAGTGGAGGATGACCCAAGTCCTTGGGCCCTGCACCCCATGGGAGACCAGGAGAAGAACCTGGCTCCTGCCATCGGATCAGCGCGGTGCGCCGGCTGCAGCGCGCCGCGGCGGCCATTGGAGGGTGAACCAACGGCAAAGGAAGACCTTTCTCTCTGTCTCTCTTTCTCACTGTCCACTCTGCCTGTCAAAAAAAAAAAAAAAAAAAGAATTCCATTCTGGCCAGTTTTCTAACATTCTCTCAGGTCCTTGTTGCTCGTTGTGATAACTGATAGATAACCCACTGGAAGCATAGCTGTATGTTTATGCTCACATGAAATTTTGGTTTGAGCTCACTATTAAATATCTGGATTAATTAAAAAAAGAAGAAAATACTGGAAAAAAACAAAATAGCAATTTTTAAATACTGGATGCATTATAGCAAAATAGACATGTGGCAAATTGATATATTTCCACGAACCAAAAGAATTCCAAAAATGGCACTTCTGTCACTGATACCATCAATTACTGAAGATTCTTTTGGTAACAAGGAATACAGACTTTCCAGATGCAGAGAGAAATGAAGAGGGAGAGGAGAATGAACTTCTTAGAAGGACACTGGAAGGATTTGTGAAGCTCTAGGAGCTTCATAGGCAATTTCCTATAGAGCATTGATTTCCAACCTTGATTACATAATAGAATCACATGGGTAACCTTGAGAAACAAGCAAGGCACTGGCTCCACTCAGGCAAATTACACTGGAATCTCTGGGGGCGGAGCCCATGAATAAATATACTTTAAAAGTTCCCTAGCTGATTTTAATGCATGGCCAGGGGTTGAGAACTACTCTTCTGGAATGGTAGAATTAACATCACTCAATCTTAATGACTCCTGGGTCTA